TTGTACAATCATTCATAGTACAAAACATAGCATTTCATAGGATAGATCTTATTGCATTTGTAGAAAACAATTTAACTTGAACATAGCTTTACTAAGTTATTACTCACAAATAACCGGTGGCTCCAAATAGACGAGTAGAGTAGGCAATTCACTTAACTTGAGGCGCGTGACCTACATAACATAATAGACACATACATTGGAACACACGCTCGGATTGTACATAACTTATTTCATTTGTTCTTAGTATGTTTCTAGCCTTTATCCTCATCATAGTGTCATGATCTTGGCCTAGGAATGCCTACGATGGAATGAGGAAGCAAAAATGTACTTGAAAACATTTTACAAAACTTGCTGGAAACAAGGTCTATGCTCGAGTGTGACTTTCCTCGCTCGAGCGTACATGCAAAATGTAAGGGTCCGCTCGAGCGGTCTGCAAACTTTACAGAAGTACTAGTTGCTTGATTTTCACGCTCGACGGACGCTCGATCCCCACTTAAGCGTGAGACTCAGACCTTCACTCGAGCGTGACTTTCGTCACTTGAGCGATCTTTAAAAACACATGAACTTCTAGGAGCATGCATTTCACGCTCGAGCTGACTTCTGGTCGCTCGAGCGGAAGTGCAAGATTACAAGGTCGCCGCACGAGCGTAGAATTCGACACTCGAGCGGAAGTGCAAAATCTGGAATTTCCAGATTGCACTCCTCAGCTCCAAGCTCGAATTCTACACCCCAAAACTCATCTTCTTGGGCCAAAATTCTGGAGAACATCTAGGAACCTGTAAAATATTATGGTTTGAAGATCTTTTCATGAAATCAAGGCCCAAAAGTATGTCAAACATGCAACAATTGAACTTAAAATGTAAAAACATGGTATGAACATGACATGCATGTGTTCATTTGAGTTTATGGCTTCTAAAACGTGATCAAATGTGATCCATTGATGAGAAATGTTATGAATTCTTCAACTTATGTTAGAATTACAACATGCATAGAGAAAATCTATGAAAACAACTTCAAAATGCTATAAATATGCATGCATATATGGAATGACTCATCTTTCTTTAATTCTAGCTCAATCCTTACATGAATTCATCTAATTCACTTGAATCCTTGTAAAATCTAACTCAATTATACAACTAAGAGTTTGATTCCTTACCTAGAGTCCACAATTCCTTTAGATTCTAGCTAGGCTCAACAAACTATCACCAATCCCTTCCAATTCTTGATCACTCTTAGCAAATCTCTCTTTTCCTCCTTGAATTGAGCTCAAGTTTCTTCTTCTCCCTCTCTCACACGTTTGTTGCTCAAGATGATGGTAGGAATAAGTTCTCTCAATTATGAGTGATGTATTTATATGTTTGATTAGCTAGGCTAATTAAGTGGGCATTAATTTAATCTAATTTAATTGTTCCAAACCGAATTTTAATTAGACCTACCATAAAATTCTATAAATCCTAATTAGCACATAAATCAAGTCATTTTCTGATTCGAACGCCAATAAGGCTTTCAATTCGCAAATCGAAACTAAAACATGAATAAATCTTTCTACGCCTAACAGATACAAACACCACAATGCAACGCACACATGCATTTTAATTTAGAATTTCACCTTAATTACTAATTAGGCATAATTAATCACGGATTAACGTTAATCATGGGTCGGGGTTATTACACTTGTCCAACCCTGTAGAGCGTACATCCCCTCCGGACTAGCAATCCAAAGTTGTTCCAACTCGATTGGACTAAGTCCCCGGTCTAGTGTGCACCCAATGTCTGACCGAGCAAGGGCTTATCTCTGGCCCAAACCAATTCAACTCAATATTAGGTTGTAAACCTCCCTTTCAATATATAAATTCATGGAAAAAGTATAACATTTTAAAATGGTGGTTTGTAACGTTTTCTCTCTCTCTCTCTCTCTCTCTCTCTCTCTCTCTCTCTCTCTCACACACACACACACACACATTTTTCTCTCTTCTTTTCATCTTTTCTCTCTCTCTCTCTCTCTCTCTCTCTCTCTCTCTCTCTCAACCATTTTACACCATAAAAGCTTAGATCTACTCTAACAGGAGTAAAAGTTGATCTTCAACTTGAGTTTCAACACTGTAAAGCTTGGCGAGAGCTTCGTATCTATTGGAGCCGATTTTCATTTCGTTTTCTTTCAAATTTTTGGATTTCGTCTTTTCTTATTTTGAGGTATGAATTTTTTAACTTTTTTCAAATTTGAGTTGTATGGTGCATATGTAGTATTTTCATTATAAAAATTTTGTGAAAAATATATAGAGATTTTGTTGGTACAAGTTGTATAAATCTAGGGTTTGGTCAAATGTTGTTTATTTCTTAATTTCTTACCAAATGCATTCTTCTATGGTTGTACTTTAACTTGGAAAAAAAAAAAATCCCAACTTTTAAAACTCTAATTTGTAATACAAGAAATTATAAAGTTTTTTTTTTTTTTTCATATTGATTTCATGTCTTGAAATCGAAAGTAATGCCTTTATTTTTATAGAATTTGCATATGTTAATTTAGTCTAATAAATAATAGCTCTTGATAAATTAGATTAAAATCAACAGATAAAAAAAAAAAGTCTAATCAATCTCCTCAAAGAACAATGCTATAGACCACTAATTTACCATCACTAATACCACCACTAGTGAGGTGGCAATTGAAAAAACAACAATGATAGAGACCACTAAAAGTGGTGCTCTAAAGTAACCACTAATGATGTGGCATCCACTTTTAAAAACAAAAAAATAAAAATAAAAATGCTAGAGGCCCCAAAAATTCTACCAAAAGTTTTACCAAATGTCTCACATGGGTGTGGGACCCACATGGGACTCACATTGTGTGGATCCCACACCCATGTGAGACATTTGGTAAAACTTTTAGTAGAATATTTGAGGTCTCTAGCATTACTCAAAAAAAAAAAAAGCAGACACAACAACATTGTGACAGTGGGTGGGACCCATTGCCACATCATTAGTGGTGGCACTAATTAGTGCTCCCACTTATTTTCCTTGAAAAAAAAAAAAACACAAAACACATGTGACAATGGATGGGACCCACTGCCACATCATTAGAGCCACCACTAATTAATGATCTAAAGTATTTTTGCTCCTCAAATTGATTAGGAGGTGGGGTCCAATGTGGAATCAGCGCCTTTTTAAATAGACCACTTGATAAGTATCACATCTAAAATTGTATTTAATTGATATGTTTATTAATGTTTCCAACATTATTATAAGTTGACACTTCTAACTGGGAGTACCATGTGATTGAATGGAAGGCATTTGATTTCAGTACCTCACTTTTTTTTCTTCAAAAATTTTATTGAAAAGAAAAGAAAAAGAAAGAGAGACAGAGGGAGAGAGAGAGAGAGAGAAAAGGTATTATATTAATGGTAACATGTCTATTGCCTTCACCTATAAAGAGGGAGAGCCTGCCTCACAAAGGTGTTATTTGAAAGCCTTTTTGAAATGAAAATTTCAAAAATTTTGTTTGGTTTATAATTTTTTTAAAATTGCTTTCAAAATTATTTTCTCTTTCCTCTCTTCTTTTCTCACATTTTATACATTAATCAATCAATTTTTTTTCTCTCTCCTCTCTTATTTCCTCACATTTTAGATATCAATTAATTTTTCTTTCACACACATCTATTCAACTACAAAAAAAAATTACAAATCATTCTAAAATTATTTTCAAAATATACAACTAAACAAGTTTTCAAATTTTAAAACGTTTTGCTTTCCTAAACGTGTACATATATAGACATATTTTGACCATGAATCCAAAGCTAGGCTCTCTACTTTTCCACCTGTATAGAAAATCTATTCCTCAATTGGGTAATCCAGTTTCCCACTTACCAAACAGCCCATAAATTGGTATAGCAACACACACCACTTACACACAAAAAGATAATTGGCTATCAATAGATGCTCTGCTCAAACTGCCCTTGATTCTGGCCCCTTTTTGAACCACATGGCAATACACTTTTCCTCTTCAAACAATAAGAGAAAGAAAATTTTCTATCAATGTCTATGAAAAAGAAAATTAATTCATTAGTAACAACAAAAAACAAAAAGACTGAAATATATATCCATTGCATTGCAGATCAATCATCAAAGTCAATAGTTAGGAAAGTGAACAACTTATGCAGAAAAATGTGCAGTTGAATCAAGAGAATATACTGTCTCAAAAAAAAAAATTTAATTAAATTTAAAAATGGAAGTCTAATCATCCATGTGCAGCATGGAAGTAGATGTTGGCATCGTTGGTTGCCGGATTCTGACCATCTTATTCTCAGTGACAGCTTTCGGCCGAGCCCTTTTTGTCTGCCACATTCAACATGGGAAAATAATAAACAAGAAATTTTTGCCATAATGTGTGGGATTAGAGAAGGGCCCCCAACCTTAACCAACTACCATAAAACAGACAAAACCAGACGCTATCGCTCATCCGACAAGGATTGGGACAACGCTCTCCATTCCAGACGGCCCCAACAAAAAAGAAAACAGAAAGAAAAGAAAAGAAAAGAAAAGGAAAGAAAAGCATATCCAATGCCAACACAGTGCAAATGTATAACTTAGCATTGCTAACAATGTTTGTAATGTGGATTATTCAACCATGAGTTACCAATTTCCCACAGCCAAAAGCACCAACACCCTCATGCTGTACAACCACAAGAACTAACTATACTGCAAGGTAGGGGACACATTTCAACTAACCTAAAATGGGGGTTATTTGAAATGCTATGTATCTCTCTTCATTAAATAATCATGTAGATTAACATATTATGATTGCGATCTTATTGCTGTAAAAGCTTGATTTAAACAAAAAATTGTGGATATATAAGAAAAATTAAGGTAAAAAGGGCAGAGATCTTCATATCTTGTTGGGCATTAGCAGAGAGGAGCTCTGCGAGGGACACCCTTTCTCTTGTGTAATTGCTTCTTTGGCTTCAATTTTGAACTCGAATTCAGATGAGAACATCAAGAGAGAAATTCGATGATTCACTTAGAGACTGAGATGATTCCTTCAAAGTAAGAGTAGATACATCTTTTTCGCTTATATTTAGTTCTGAGTCATACTTTTCCTTCAAGGACAAATCATTAAATTCCGGTATTGGCTTGGAGATCACCAGATGGTTATTGTCATTGGAAATCTCTGGAACTACTGATACCTGGAAATTTTTAAATTCCAACCATTTTGCTTATAATTTAAGCTCTTAAGGAAGATAGTAATATCAAGTGCTTGAATGAACTTTTTTACCTTGCATGCGATAGAGCAAAATCGATTAGGAACGTCTTGTATGTGCCTCCCACAACCTTCACACGACACGCCACTCTTCGATTTTGATGTGTTGGGATCTTTGGTTTGAGGCCGAGGTTTTAGATGGACAGCCTTTTCACCATTGATTTTGTAAGTCTGGTAATTTGAAGTCACTATTATTAGTTCTATGTAATTAAGGAACAATTCAAAATATGCAAATGAATTGAGAAAACACTTGTAAAATTGACATTGAGAAAATTATATGATCTATTAATTAGAGTACTATGTCAGAGTATCTATGTGGAACCAAACTACTAAATTTATGAACATGTCCAATTAAAAATTACAAAACATTTTCCAATTAGAACTACTTCTTTTCTTTCTTTTTGGTTTTGGATTACATTCGTCATGAGTTTTATTCGAAAAAAATGATAATAATTACAAAAAAAAAAAAAAAAAAAAAAAAAAAAAAAAAACACCTGGCAATTCACATACCTACAATCAATCAAATGCCTCTCTTGTAATACTGGTAGGAATAATTAGAAATGACAAAATGATCATTTCTCTATTTTTTACACTAGAACCACTACTTCAATTATATAAATGAACATTTCTCAATTATCAAAAATAGATAATTATCACTACGAAGACCAAAAATATGTAGAAACAACTACAAAAATTTTCAACAGATCTAAAAACAGCCCTACCAATTAGATTACAGTTAAGAGGAAGTGATCAAGTACAAGAACACATAATTACTTTGAATATCAATCGCTACCAATCAAAAACTAAATAAATAAAGACAAGAATCTACCAAACATATTCCAAATCCAAATGAATTATTTATTAAATTACTAATACATTCTGATGACAAAATCAATAAAGAAATTATAACATTTAAACAACAAGAAACAGACAATAAATTTTACAATTAGTTTGAAACTCAGTCGAAGCTTTGTAAATAAACAACCCTACCAATCAGATTACAGTTAAGAAGAAGTAATAAAGTACAAGAATTCATAATTAGTCTGAATATCAATCAATAACTAATCATCAATTTCCTAACCAATTGTAAAAATATAAATTAAGACAAGAATCTAACAAACAGATCCTAAATGCAAATGAATTACTACTAAATTATTCATGAATTCAGATGAGAACATCAAGACAGAAATTCTAACAACTAACACCGAAAAACAGATGAGAAATTTTACAATTAGTTCGAAAATCAATAGAAACTTATAGTTAAATAAGGCCAAGTTTGGGAAGACTAAATAAGTGCACTTTTTGTCTTTTTGGACTAAAAAATTGAGATTGAAAATATGGATGTTTGGGTTAACTTTTTGACTTTTTATGGAAAAATGTGTAATAAAAAATTGTAAAAATTGGTTTGTAGAGGAAAATTTGAATTGGGAGTTGTGCAGCCGTAATTGTTGACTTTTGGTGAATAGTGTTAACTTTTTAACTTTTTGAGTAACTTTTTGGCTTTTTGGCTTATTTGGGACTTCCCAAACTTAGCCTAAATCTACCAATTAGATTATGACAAGAGTCTAACAAACAGATCCTAAATGCAAATGAATTGCTACTAAATTATTCATGAATTCAGATGAGAACATCAAGACAGAAATTCTAACAACTAACACCGAAAAACAGACGAGAAATTTTACAATTAGTTCGAAAATCAATAGAAACTTATAGTTAAATAAATCTACCAATTAGATTATGACAAGAGTCTAACAAACAGATCCTAAATGCAAATGAATTGCTACTAAATTATTCATGAATTCAGATGAGAACATCAAGAGAGAAATTTTACAGTTACTTTGAAAATCAATGGAAACTTATAATTAAGCAAATCTACCAATTAGATTAAGACAAGAATCTAACAAACAGATCCTAAATGCAAATGAATTACTACTAAATTATTCATGAATTCAGATGAGAACATCAAGAGAGAAATTCTAACAATTAATACCGAAAAGTAGACGAGAAATTTTACAATTAGTTCGAAAATCAACAGAAACTTATTATTAAACAAATCTACCAATTAGATTATAGTTAAGTTGAAGTGATTTAAGTACAGCAACTCATAATTAGTTTAAATTTCAATAAAGAATTCTATCATCAATTTGTCAAGCAGATGACAAAATTGAAAAGAAAAACATACAGAATTCTTCACAATTAATTTGAAATTCAATCAAGCTGCATAATTAAAGAAAACAGGACACATAGCCAACCTGAATTTTCGAGCAATCAAGATACTTTTGAATATCTTGAAGGCGAACAACATCTTGATAAACATACTTGCAAATTTGAAGCCAACGATGAAGCTCATGAGTTGAAGAACTAATACAATGTTTGCAAAAGCAAAGATCACAATCAATGCAAAACACATTCTTTTCGTTCTTGCGAAGATCACTATGATTATCACAAGAACCAAAAAACTTGCTATGTAACAGAGTAATCACCCATTGGTCCCATTCAGTTTTTTTCTTCATCAATTGATTTGCAAATCCAACCTGCAAAAAACCCAATCAAAAAAACCTACTACTAATTTTAACAATTTTGATTTGATCAAATCAATGAACAAGGTTATGAGTACTAACCGTTTGAGTAAATTTTTGAAGTGGGTTTTTGGGTATGTGAATGATTGCTATGATTGAGGCGAAGAACAGAGGAGAATAAATCAAAAAGAAAAATTAATGGGATGTGAAAGAAAGTGAAAAAAAAGAAGAGAGAGAGAGAGAGAGAGAGAGACCAAGAAAGAAACTTTATGGAGAGATTGAATTTGGGCAAAAAGAAGAAAGAAAACAAAGAAATTATAGACAGATTAAAATGGAAAGAGAAATCTCAGTGAAAGCAACATTCATGTTCACACACTCAAGTAGTAGTGAGTAGACTAGTAGTGATAGAGATGTGAAGAGTATGAATGATCTGAGCCGTTGGATTGGAAACCATCAATTGTGGATGTGTTGGGTGATGGGTTGATTTGAGCCGTTGTTCTCTGCTCGGCGTGATCTGACGGTGGAATCGAAGTTGTGTGACAGAGTGGGGTCGAGATGGTGGATGACACTTGGCTAATATTTGAACCACTCATATCGTTTCGCGCCAATTAGACCCGAATTTTCAGCCGCTGTGTTGGCGACTGGCGAGGAGGCGCCGTCTTCTCTTTCCAAAAATTTCATTTTGGTGCCCTAAACTTTCTCAAGGCGAAAATAATTTTTTTTTTTTTTTTGTAAATAATTAAATCATAAAAAAATAGAGACAATACAAAAAAATTTAAAAGAAAAAAAAAACATAAAGTTTAATTTCAGTTTCAAATCAAATTTTAATTTTTTATTATTTAAATTTATAATGATATTACACGTACCAATTGATATATTAAATAACTAGCATATCACTTGTACTATGCACATGATAAAATAATATATTATTTATTAAAATTATGATAATTATATTCAATTTTTTTGTATTTTGTCTCTCGTCAACAAAATTTTATATATAAGTTTAAAAGTTTTGTTTCAAATGTTCCTTTACTATAATATATAATATAGATAAATTAAAATTGTTGTATTGACAATTAACAATTAAAATTATGCTTTGTTGTAAAAAAAAATGATATAGTTCTAATATCTATTTTAGAATAAAAATATATGAATTTTAAAAAATTATTATATTGGTTTTTGAAAAGAAAATAATTAAGAAAATTTTAAAAACTTAATGAGTAAGAAAAATCATCATAACAAGTAATTTAAAATATCAAAAAAAAAGTTAAAAATGACCAAAAACTTTAAAAAGATGTGATTACAATTAAAATTAGGGGTATTTTTTTAAGATCCCTGATATTATGATTTTATAGTATAAAGGACATCAAATATTTTCATGATGTCTAAGGTCCCTCAACATCAATCCAGAGAAAATTGGTCCAGAGAAAATTCAAATCAGAGAAAATTGGTTCAGAGAAATTTTGAATTTCTCTGGCTTCCTTAGCCTTTCATGGGCACTGCCAGAGAAATTTCCTTAGCCTTTCATGGACTCCAGAGAAATTTCTCTGGCCGTGGGTTTGATCCGCCACCATTGTTGTTACTGACAGTTCGGGAAAAAACGAGATGATTCAGTTTCAATTACTAATGTATTGCCAGTTATGGAGTCTTATGATGAGATGAAAGATCATAATGATCATACTCTTAGAAACTGTAAGCCACCGGATGAAGTGGAAATGGAAAAATTGAAGATCATGCTGAAATTAATTGTCCAGCCATGGATGATTCACCAGGTAATGTTGTGTAAAAACATATACACTAATATTCAGTTGTTCCTTAATTATGTCAGAATGTCATTAACAATTTTAGACGTTGGATTTTTAATCACAATTGCACAAGTTATGCAGAATGTTTTCCCTGCAGTACTGATTTAATTTTATTACATAAATTTTATTAGCAAATCCGTCTTTGGTTGTTCAAGACAGAGAGTTGAACCCAGAGAAATTTTGAATTTTCTCTGGGTTGAACCAGAGAAATTCTGACTTTTCTCTGGAACTATAAAACTCTGATTTGCGTTGGATTTTTAATCACAATTGCACAAGTTATGCAGAATGTTTTCCCTGCAGTACTGATTTAATTTTATTACATAAATGTTATTAGCAAATCCGTCTTTGGTTGTTCAAGCCAGAGAGTTGAACCCAGAGAAATTCTGAATTTTCTCTGGGTTGAACTACAGAAATTCTGCCTTTTCTCTGGAACTATAAAACTCTAATTTGATCAATTTGTCAATTGAAATACCTGGGGGCCTCTTTCTCTGGATATTTTTTTATTTTGCGTACTGCTTCAACGCTTGGGAGAAAAAAACGTCAAGGTTGGTTATGCTTCTCATAAGTGCCTCTGTGTTGCTTATGAGAATCTCAGGGCTTCTCAGAAAGAGTTCTTCAAGAATCGGAACAGTATTATAGAGCATCAATATGATTCGGGGCAGTTGAAGACCAGAGAGAATGAGGAAGACAATAGATCTGTGATTGAAACCCTAAGGTAATAGACATATATGTATATATATATTAGGGAAGTGGGGTCTGAGTAGGTAGAGAGATAGGGAGTGTTGTATGGGTTCTACTGGGGAAAAGAAGGAGTAGTTTTGGAAATTGATACCCAAAAGTTATTTGAAGGACAAGACGAAGGAGGAGGGCTGGGTTCTGTCGTTTACTAGCGTTGGGGATGGTGATAGAATATCCGGTATGTGAATCGAAATATTCTGTAAGTCAAATTTCTCTGATATATCTTTAGGGACCTTAGATATCAAAAAATAATTTTGTGGATCTTTTCTATTACGAAAAGTGGGAGAGGGACCCTAGACCAATTTTCCCTTAAAACTAATGCCATATTTATTAATAAGTATAATTTTATTTGGATATCTATTTATATCTTAACATACTTATTTAAAACAAAAATAAAAATAAATAAAAATATTAATAATTTTGAGTTTTAAAATATGATTTTGTAGACTTGCTATCACTACAAGAAATTACACTTTTGGCGACAACATCAATTTTTATATCAATCCTGGTTTTCCCTCTATTGAGTATTGTATTCCAGACTTGGTTCCATAGATGTAGGTTGTTGTATTTAGCTTGTTTCCGTCCTTCAATACTTTGTATTTGAGTTTATTTCCGCATATTGTCTCTGAACTTGAAGTGAATTAATGGATTTGGTAATGATTTCGAGTAATAAAAAGTGGGGCGTGACAACTTGGTATCAGAGCGAGCCGAGTTTGAATACTTTAGGCTCGTGGGACGTGGTTTTTACCACAGTGGATTTACTACGTATGGTGAGGACGTTGCATATAGATAACATGAATGTTAGGACTTATGTGTTACATTTATGTGAGCATGGGATTAAGCTTCCCTGGATAGTATTTCATAGCTGGTGCACTTGCTTTGAGGTCCTCTTGGAAACACGCCGGATCAACGTGGTTTCTGATAGGAATTTCTCGAGACTTCCGGGATGAGTGGCTATCTTTGTGGACTTGATTCGATTATTTGTTTACATGTTTAGATGTTTATATGCAATAGAGATGTAAGTTTTAAGACTAAGTGAGTCTTGTGACTTAATAGTAGCAAGTGTGTGCCTTGAAGAAGACTATTGTGTTATGCACTAAGCATGGTTTTGTTCTTTGGATTTTACAGGATGTCTACACGAGGGAGTAGAGATTGGGTGAGTAGTAGGAGTGCCGGGAGAGGCACAGCAGTTCCTTTAACAACCGCTGTTGCAACATCGGCTGTCGGCGAAGACGTTGCACGCGAGTTTGTGAGAGCAGTGCAGGACGCCCTAGCTCGCACTGAGGGTGGCAGCGGGCGTGCCCTTAAGCTTACTAAGGAGTTTTTTCGCTCCAGCCCACCAGAGTTTGTGGGGGAGGCCAAACCGTTGGAGGCAGAGAGTTGGTTAGAGCAGATTACCAAGACTCTTGATATGCTCAGAGTCGAAGATGAGGAGTTGAGGGTTTCTTTGGTGACTTTTCAATTGAAGGGAGACGCGAGTTATTGGTGGAAATATGTTAAGAATACTGTAGGTGGCACGTGGGTTGCTTTTACCGAGGCCTTTTGGGCCAAGTATTTCCCTCCTTCTGCTCGGGAAAGGTTGAGGGAACAGTTTGTTCAATTGCGTCAGGATGATACTCTTGTGGCACAGTTTGAGATGCGGTTTACCAGTTTGTCAAGGTTTGCTCCAGAGTTGGTGGCAACAAAGGAGCATCGTTGTTATGAGTTTGAAAGTCGATTGTGTTTCGGTATTCGGGAGAAGGTAGCTGGATCCTTTTGGAAGGATTATTATAGTCTATTCGAAGCAGCGGCCCATGTGGAGGCCATGGTTGTGGCTGATTGGGTTAGGGAGGAGGCCATCTCGGTAACTCCTACGGTTCATAAACACTCTAGGCTTAGTAAGGGGTGGAGGCGAAAACATGTTCTGTCCCAGGCTAAATCCTTTTCTTTGCCAGGGGTTCGGACTCTTCTGTTGAGAGGTCCAGGGAGGTTCAGATTTCAGACCAGTCTCAGAGTAGGGGGTCTATTGGTTGTTTTGTTTGTGGTCAGCTGGGCCATGTTAGGTGTTTATGCCCCCTGCGGGTGAACTCTTCAAGTGTTTCAAAGCCTAGTCAGACTCAGTTGTACCTGTCCAGTCAGGGACGTTATCGATACCAGAAACGTGCAAGCCAGGCTTCGAGAGCCTCACGAGGGGCGACTTATTAGCTAACCCTATAGTACTACCCTGGAGGGGGACTTTTGTATTGTTGACCGGTGATGTAATATGTGAATCATTTTGTTGTTGACCGGTGTATTGTTGGATGCTGAGGCATCATGATTATGTAGTGCTTTTGTACGCATGTTGTTGTTTGTTTAATCCTCATATATTGGGGCATGCATGGAATCTCGAACCTTCTTTTATTTATATTGAGAAGTTGTCAATGGGATCGATGATCCTAGTATTGTTGTATGCTTGGTACTGAATTATGAGTTAGTTATGTGATGGCCTGTGAGCCTTGTTCAGTTTAAAAGTTATTTGTTGAGAACAGGAAATCCGTAGGTGAATGTGATTGGTTTCATGGTTTTGAGAGTTGTGTGGCATTGGCAAAGTTATGTAAGAATGTTCGAGGGAATGTGAGATTTGTATTTCGAGATAGCAGGAATGGTACCGGTATATCGTTTAGTGACTTGGGTTTTGCTAATTAGTGAACTCGTTGTGATCCCATTAATCATGTATGTGGGTAGTGTTCGTATTACGACTTGTTATTGGTTGGTGACCCTAAGCGATTTTCTCATGACCTCTTCTCGCGATTTCTACGTGGTTAAAGTGTTCCCTTTTTCTCACACAATTTTAGTGTGTGTGAAATTTATCTCGAGATGCGTGAAGCGCAAGCCCGAGTGGTTTCTCTTATATCTCAGGACACGTGAAGCGCGGCCCTAGGCGTGTTTTA